TCATATTTTAAGCCACCTTTTAATAGACCTTTTGAATATTATAAAATTATAAATATATAAAATATAAAATCAATTTCCATTTTACATTGCCCCCAACCTCTCAAAGTACTCTTCTTAGGATCAAAAGTTTCCAATCTTGCTATAACATCAACAATTATAACAGACTCCTATAAGCACATCTCAAACACCTATGGATATTTTCTGTCAAAACATTACATATTTAAAATTCTTACTATTGTAAAACCCAAAAATCATTTTTCACTTACTCTTTGTAAGTTCCTGTTTCAGGATCTTCAGTCATAACATCATACAGACCTTCCAACGTAACGTGGATGATACCACAAAATTTATCTTGGATAACACTGGAAAAGAAAAGGAAAGTGTTTTAGCTAAAGTAACTGGACAGGGAATTTGTTCAATAACCGTAAGGCATATTTACCAAGCAGTGTTTAAATTGTTCACCACTTAGCTGAGCATGCTATCAAGCATCTAATTCCAACTTTTTTTTTTAATTACATAAGAGACCCAAAGTTAGCAAACTCATGATAGAAGCATTCTATTAGAATGAAGTGCCATGTGTTGTTGAAAATTTAGAAAGGTCAGAGTACTTCTGCTTTTAACACATTTGCATATTTTCTAACATCACTATCTGATGCAAAAAAGAACAGCATGTAAACCTAGTACATGCCTTCGTGCATTTTCTATTCAACCTTATGAGCATTTCTTTAACCTCCTGGACAGGTTAATGACATTCCATAATCAGGTAAAAGGTATTTCCACCTACAAAAGCAGATTTTCTTAATTAGAAAGGTGGAAGCATGTTTCATCTCTACTGAAGCACAGCTAACTCCTGTCATTTGAATTACCAGACCAAAGAGCTGGCAGGTAGCACCACAGACTGAAAAAATAAGGAAATAAAGATGAGCACCTTCCTTTCTCCAACAGAAGCTGAAGGCCAGGTTGAATAATCCAAGCATCCCAAATGACACCAATCTCCTAAATCATTTAGATGCACATCCCTGCCTTGCAAAATCACATGCCTGTAGTGTGAGAAGGGCATGAAACCATGACCTCCCAGACTCCCAGATGAAAAAGCAGGTACCAGCAGCAGGTACCAGTTAAGGGAAAGTAGCTCATGACTGCTGTCACTTCTGCTGAATTCTCTGATATTCTGGGTTTGGCTATCAATGCACAGACTCCTAGCCCATAAGCTACATAAGGGTTCAGGCACTCTGCAAGCAAACAGTATTAGCTACTGGCAAAGAAATTGAAAAGTCTGATTAGTGATGGTAAATGATAACTCATGTGTCACTGCTATTGATTAATGATTTCAATTAGCACAATTTCAGAATTTCAGGGTTCATTTTTCCCAGAGGTGGTTGCTGCAGACATACAAAATCTTAAATATATAACATTGCAAAACAGATGCTTTGGAGAAAAAAAAGCCTATCAAGTTTTGAATATTAAGTCTATTAAAATATTTATTCAAACTTTGTTTTTATAAGATTATGATTCAGCTCATGATCATTTTGTTTTCAAATGAAATTTTTTCATAAATTTTATTCAGCTAAGGTCAATTGCCAGGAATAGAACTATATTTAAATGCTGAAAGCTGAAACTCCAGCACTTTCAGGGACGAAAACTGATGGAATTTTCCTTCAGTCTGGCCTCTTATTGTTGCCACTTACATTTTAGAGAAGACTTTGTTCCTTGCCAAACAGCTTCCCTACCTCATCCAAAGGAGAAAACAAACAACCTAAAGAAAATGAGCACAGACTGTTTAGCAGACTGCAGAATAAGCCCTCAGAGTTAAGAATTTCTTCAGTTCAGTTAGATTTCTACAAAGCACACCTACCTTCATTAAAGCTTTTTCTCTTCATACTTTTTTTTTTTTTCCTTTAAAACATACATCTAGGAAAATCCCCATTAGCGTGGTTAGTATTTTCCATTGTAAGAAAGGAAACAGCTGTCCTCACATTCCTTTCAAAAGAGGATGTGGGGAATTCAACCAAGAACACTCCACCTCGGAGGAGTACACTACTCTCTGTAAGTATGCACCATTTTAATAGCGTAGTTCTATCAGCTACCTGGTAGCTGAATTTGTTCCTTTCAAGCCACATGAAGAATGTCTAATTGCCAGAGGAACTGCATAATTTTACTTGGAGGGGAGAGAAGAGAGGAAAATGTTTAACCCAAAGTAGGCACAGCCTTTTCATCTGCTGCAAGTGCTAATTATGGTCAATCTATACAAGTGAGTTATGTTAATTAACCAAAATATAAAAAAGTAAGCACAGTACTCATTAACTTTATTTTTTCTTGTTCATCTCTGCCAGGCTTGCAGACTAATAGGAAAAGCACAGAGGGAGGGAGTCTCTTTTCAGTTAACTCGTGTATCCAGTGATCTGTGATATATCCAGAAGAAACTGAAGAAGGTGGCTAAAAATTCAAAATACAGCTCCTGATAATTAACTGCAGAGCGTGCTGAGAAATCAGAGATTTCTTTACTTGAAAATGCTATTTTTATCTTGTAGCATGAAATAGAGACATTATTTTACTTCTTTTTGAAGTGAATAATAGAAATGTATTGATAATTTTCCTGAGGAAAGCAGTGCCACAGAATACAGAAGGCCTTTCAAAATAATCTAACAGCTACCCGCAGTTTTCAGTGAAGATAAAACCATCTTTTTTCCCTTCCTTTTCCTCTTGAAAGGAGACAGTTTCTTCCTATCAGACACTCCCCAAAACATTTATCAAGTCCAAAATCATTAAACAATAGAACTATTTTTAGAATGTAAGACATATGCTGGGGGGAAATAAAGGCAGCATATGTTTACTGTGGCTTGAAAAAAACAAAACCACAACCAAAAAAAACTTGGGCTAAAGTTCAGCAGCAACACAATGAGATATCAGGTGTCATTTTCATGGAAGAAAGGGAAAGAGCCTCGCAAATCAAGGAAATCTCTTTTTAGAAGTCTAAAATTAGACTGGTTGTTTTAAGAAACATGCTGGAAAGTTCTCAAGAGTGGCTTCAGAAAAGAAATGGAAACATATTTTGCTGAACTTTCATTGTGAAACTGAACAGTTAACACTGTCCATACAAAAAACTCTCAGCTCAGGCTGAAGGCAGCATTTAAGCAGTTCCACCTTTCAATTGCATCTAATCAAGGTCAGTAGCATAATAAGTAACAGCATAAAGTTATAACTGATTTTCTAACTACCCCAAGGTCCTATAAGTCATCAGGACAAAACCTAGTTCGGTACATATCAAGAATTATCAAGGGACAGGCCTGGAATTCGACATTTACAGCATGTATGAAGTTGGTAGTCAGGATTTAAACCAGTCCAGGATCCAGTTCCAAAGATGCAGTTAAGACCTTATTTTTGTAATTACAAAGGGATCTTTCATGTTATCTACTTAAAAAAAAAAAAATAGTAATAATCAACTTGTCTCTAATAAAAAAATGCAACAAACCTATTTACAACAGGTTGAACATGTTCGTTTTTCATTTCAAAGTTTGCAAATCCTGTGAGATAAAAGGAAGTTCTGCCATTTCCAACTCATTCAAGCTATCCATTCAAAATTTTTACCCAGTGTTTTCTGCGACAACTATCACTACAGCAACTTTGGATTCCAGTTAAATAGCATATATGATAACAAATTGCTAGTAGTATGTAAGTGAAATAGTCTTCATGTCTCCTATACATCTTTCTTGGTCTATCAGAAATGGAGAAAACATTCTTAGTGGGCAAGCATACCTAATTGCAGACATACCTTTCTCTTCTAGACATTAAAAGGAAGCAGTAGAAAAGCAGAGATTTTCTCTTTTGCCAGGATGAAACAGCAAAAATAGAAAAAGGGACGAGCATCATATCTTTACTGGTGTTAATTCAAGATAGATTAATCAATTATTTATTCTTATTTCATTAGCAGTGGGAAGAGATTGAAGGGCACAAATAGAGTTTACTTTTTACGTGCTATGAGCAATGTAAACGATTATTTTTTTTCTCCTCTAGATGCTGTGCAGTGCTACAGAGCTCCTAAAATGGTAACGACACATCTAAGACAGCATTTCCAGAGGAACTGTATGGCTGACTGTAAACTTGATAATGAGCTTTATAAATGAGAATCTAATAAGGGACTGTGACTAAGTGGAAGTCTATAGACCATTTTGCTTCATGTGGGCAGGCACTACTGAGACTTCTGAATTCTGTATTCTCCAGTGATTTAAACAGACATATGAACCACACACACAGTATTCCTGTTTCCTAGTGTGAACATTTAACTTGGCAGTTACTGACTGCACTTTCCCACAGTTACATCCCTCAAATTCTCTGTGGAGCAAAACTGGAAATTTTTCTCAAGTTGGTTATTGGAGGATGACTCCTCTCCATAAGATGGCTTTGATTGTCCCAGCAAAACTTACAGAAATGATGCTGGCAGTATCAATTTCATTTAAACTGAATCACTGGAAATGATAGGACACACATCTGGAAGATGATTCCTACAGAAGCTTGTCAGCAAAAAGGGAACACCTTCAGAGGGAACAGTGGTCTTCTGCTGAGAACAGCTCAGAAGCACACAGTCTCTCAGGTTTCAGAATTAAGCTTGTTCTTTCCCAGCCTTCACCCACTCCCATGAAATCCTCTCCCACATGGGCACATCAGCATTACTACTTAAGAAAACCTATTTAATTAGCTTTGACTAGAATGATCATCACTCAGGTGCTAATAAAGACCGTTATTTCTGAAGACAGCCATATAAAATTGAAAGTTTACAGATAAAGAACTGAAGACAACCAAACTTACAACTGTAGAATTACACACAGTGTAGCTGTTACTAAATGAAAATAAAAACAATTCAAAACACAAAAAAGCCTAATAAACTTAACACTTGCTGCAACCAATTATGTAGGAAGGATAAAAAGGGGTTAAGGAGCAAAGCACTGTATTGGAGTTAAAAAATTAAGCATGAATTTGAGAGTAATTAGCATTTTCTCCCCTTAAGAAACAAACAAAAAAGCACACTACATTTAGTATTTATGGCTATAAAGGTATATATAAAACAAAGTTTCTAGTCACGAAACTCAAAACAGTTTAAGCTTTTGCCCAACTAGTAGAATTAAGCATTCCGTAAGACAGAAATAGTTCACCTATTATACATTAAATTAGAGTAAAATACAGCACTACAATACAATGAAAGTAAATCTCAACAAAACTCAGGTTTTGTTACATCCAGTAGAAAGATGTAGCAAGCAACAACAGAGGAACACAGTGTAGACTTCCACATTCACACCTGTAATAGTACAGGCAAGGTCTACATTTGTACTGCCAGCAGAAAATATCTTGTCATTCCTGGAAATGCATTGGAAACAAACAAATGGGGTGATAAGGAGTGCAACAACATGGCCATGCACATTAGTTATGCTAGCAGAAGTCAGGTTGGAGCCAGAAACCCTAAAGCATCCCACACATCAATATTCTAAATAAAAATGTAGAAGTTTAAACAAATGCAAACTACATGGTTTGCATAATACCCATCATTTCAAGCACAATCCTAGAATGTAGTCTTCACTTAGAAAACATATTTTGACCTAACATTTCAAAATACACAAATACTTAAGTATTCTCAATAGATTTCTTCAGTTTATACCCCTCATCTAGCCAAAGACTCCCTCAAACCTCACTATGTAGATGACATCATCTTTTTACAGACAATAATTAACCATTTCAGAGACATTACAAATGTTATCAATTTTTGAATCCAATATTTAGCTTCCATATTAACTCCTAATAAGTTATGACCACAAAATGATACAAATATAGACTATTAAAAATCATATTTTAATATATTTGTTATACAGACTCAGTACAAGAAACCGTGTATGCAATAAATACATAAAGCACTGCTCTTTTCATTCCCCAGGTTTCTTGGTTTTATGATCTAGTTGCCTTTAATTTCAAGTTAGTTATGTAATTACTACAGAAACTGAATACCCATTAAGTACTGCAAAATAAATAATATGAACATTCTCTCTAGTGAACACATACTTGCGCTACAGGTGAAAGAATCCTACAACAGGAACACAGGTAATCCATATCAGGTATAAATGACATTTAATAAAAATCAATGAACTTCAGAACACCGAGAAAGCAAATAAACACAAATTACACTATTTTCCACAATTCTATCAATCAGCTCATTTTTTTGGAAAATCAAATTCTTGACTTCTCAACATTTCAGACTGGAGTAAAATTGACATTCAAATCAACGGAAGTAAATTACAGTGATGAATGTTCAAACAATATGACCTGTGCCTGACTTTCAGATGCTGTTCGCTTGAGCAGCCTAATTTGGTCCAATTCTGAATCTCCTGCTGAATTTTCAGTTAGAGACTGCACTGCGTCATTTATGTTGTATCTGCCAGGTTGATAAAAACCATAATATTCTATTCGCTTCTCCCCTGAGTTTTCCAGCACTTTTAGTTTCTGTCTAAAGTGAATGATTTTGTAGGTTAGGAACAAGATCACAGCACAAGCCAGAACGAAAAAGGCTAGCAAAACATCAAAGGCCTGATTGAGCTTTTCAACCTGTTGTGTACAAAGTACAGATGTCTGTAATGATACAGGAGCAGCATCTGTTGGAAACAAACTTTGTACTTCTATGGTTCTGGTAACAGGTATAATCTGTGCTGGTATTTGTACTGGTAAAACTGATAGTATTGTAGGTGCCTGTGAAGGGGTTTCAGGAGCAGTGTTTTCTCCATAAGGCAAAGGGCTAGCAGATGTAACTGCAGTTCCTTCCCAGAGAGCAATATATTTTGTATCAGCCTTAATAAACTGCTCAAATGGAATGCGACTGTTTCCCTTATGCCATGCCATCAGCAAAGTGGTAGGGCTGTGATGGGTATCTGCAGATTCTAGATTCCAGGCTGCTTCTGGGCTGGCAGTGAGGCTACTGCAGTTTGCAAACAGAGTCCACTTGATGTAATGCAAAGGTCTGCCACGCATGCTGAGGGGATTCCAACAAAGAATTTTAACAGAAATGCGAGATGATGCCAGCCACTTAAGTAACCCAAGCATTTTGCAACTACAGTTCCAAGGATTATAATTTATGTGTAGATGAGTTAAAGACACTAAGGGTTTAAGCACTTTAGGCTGCAATTCTGTAATACTATTAAAAGCTAAATTGAGAATTTTAAGTGACTGCCCCATTTTCTCAAAGACATTGTCACCAATACTTGTTATTTTATTTCGGTCCAACTGCAGATACTTTAAACTATTCAAAGAAGTAAAAGTGCTGGAATTTATATTTTCTAAATCGTTATAACTTAAGATTAACTGACTAAGGTCGCTTAATCCAAAAAATCCGTTTACAGCAATATGTTTTAGCTTTACACTTTTTAAAGACAGATATCTAAGCTTGTTAAGTCCTTTAAATGCAAAACGCTGTATTGATCTAATAGGATTGTGAGATAAAGAAAGTCTTTCAAGATTTCTGAGCATTCCAATGGCATTTGATGGCACAAGTGTTAAGTTGTTACCTTCAAGGAACAAGTATACAAGGTTTTCAAGATGACAAAACGCTGCATCTGATATCCGTGAAATCTTATTATTGGCTAGGTTAAGTGTTTGAAGATTTCTCATTCCCAAGAAAGTTCCACTTCCAAGGACACTGAGACGATTTCTTTGAAGTGTTAAATATCTAACAGAAAGAAGATCACTAAATAATCCTCGGGAAACAAAAGCTATTTGATTATTCTGAAGGTATAAATAATGAAGATTAGAAAGACCTTCAAAAGTTCCTGGATCCAGGCGTTTAATATTATTGTTATTTAGATGCAAGTAGCAAAGTTTAGGAAGATCCACAAAAGCTTTTGGGTGTACATATGAAATACTGGAATTATCCATGTAAAGTGCAGCAAGTTTCTGAAGACCTGTTAATTCATTTGGAATGACATGAGATATATTATTCCCACTGAAGTATACAAGAATTGTAGTTTTAGGGAAGTTCCGAGGGATGCTTGAAAGACCCAAGTTACGACAGGTAACTTGCCTCCCTGTGCAGAGCTGGCAAAGAGTTGGACAGCCAAGAACCTCCTTCTGGAGCAGCAACAAAAGAAGGCCACTAAGGAGATGCAGGAATGCTCTTGTGCAGGGTAGTCCACACATATCCCTGTCTTTGGCCTTCTCCCTCATTTCTGACTTTGCTAGTAGAGATAAAAAAAGTTTATGAACATTATTCATTTGAAATTGTAGGATTCTTTAAAAAAAAAAACAAAACAAAACAAAAAAAACAAAAAAACCCACAAGTTTTGTTTTCAAGATTGCTATTTTAAATATATTATCCTATGAGGCCAAATAAGCAATTTCAAAGTAAAACTTAAGTTTATCATGAGTTTGAACTATATGGAAAAAAAAAAATTCAACATAAAAGAAAAGTGAAACAAATCACTGCCAAAGTAGCAGATGATTCTACGATATGATCGTAAGATTCTATGAGACAGCCAAAATAGCTGGAAAATGCTGAATTGGTTATAGAATAAAAACTGCCAAAATAATGACTTCTAGTAAATTCACAATACCATATATTAACTATTTTAAGTAGTTAAAAATAACAGAGCTCTTTCAATAGCTTTCAAGTAGGACTGCCAACAAGTTTCCTTTCATTTAAAGCTTGAATTTTGCCTTTTACAAAGTTGAATTACATTCAAAATAAGCAGAAACAACTCCTTACCCCAAATCTGAAGTTCATTATTTCTGTTCTTTCATTGTTTTGCAGTTTGTTAGGCTGTTACCAGCTGACAATACCCATCTGCGAAACACTTGGAAAAGTGATACTGCTGTGTATCACAGACAGCTCTCACATTTTGCCCCTGGATTTGCAACTGTTCATTCAGGAAATTAAGTAAGAAGTAGTTAAAGTGAGGTTGCCATGGATACAGGAAACTGTCAGGCAGGAAGCCATTTTATCTGTGCTTCAGAAGTACTGTTGGAAAGGAAATCTCAACTAGCGGTTTCTAGAAAACCAAGAATTATCTTAATCTTCAACTGCTGCCTTAAAAAAAAAAAAAAACTTTTTTTAAGTAGGAGAGCTCTAAAAAGGTTTGTCAAGATAGCTAGATATTACAATAAAGCATATCCATTTATAACAGTACTGCCGTGTTATTGGTAAATTCTTGTATTTTCCAGACAGAAAATATTTTATTAAATAAACAGCAATTTGTATTGTTCCATCTGCCTGCATAACAAAACTGTTCTTTGTGTAAGTGCAGTACTGCAAAATGGAGAACCTTGATGTTTGGAAGGAAAGGCCTAGAGAATCACTCAGCCATGCCAGCCAGGCAAACCCCTTCAGCCAAGCCAGGGAGCCTCAAAAACCTTGGATGTGAGAATTTCATGATATGCCACTGTGTGGAACATTTAAATTACATACAGAATTTAAATATATATTTACACACATGCATATTATGTATTTATAATATATTTCTAAGCTGCACCTCAGACTTGATCCAGGCACATAGCTAAGTTTCATTTTAGGCCATCTTTTTTAAGCTAACTTGTCTGCACAGCTCAGTGTATACTATAAAAGCCACAGCCTAGGTTCATGGGCTTCAGTTTCCTTCAGTGTCTCTTGTGCAGATGCAGGTTTCACATGTATACTGTGAATAGTCCCTTTACTTATGGACCAGACATTATATCCTCAGCTTATCTGTCACAGGAGTGAGCACTAACAAAGTTCAGTGACACAATCTAAAGAAGAAAGGGGGAAATAATGAAAATAGATGCAAAATTAGAGATTAAGCCCAAAAGTAGCACTGCAACTAAAAAAAAAAAAACAAAAAACAAAAAACAAACCCAAGAACAATTTGTACTGACATGAGACAATTAGTTTGGCAAAATGGTGATGCCAAAGTACATTAATAGCCATAGTCAAACAAGAGACACTACAGTAGTATTAAAGCATAAGTTCACATAAGGGGCAAAGTGTCTACAAAATAACCCAAGCCTAAATGCAGGAAGACACAAGCAAGTGAAGTAGAATAGATGGACAAGACAAATTTTAGAAGCAGAAGTCTTTGAAACTCTGTGAAAAGAAACTTACACTTCTAAAGCTTTAAAAAATATATATTCTAGCCATAAACAGTAGCATTTTTAAAAATGTTTGAAATGTAAAATACAAAACAATGTTAACCAAAATTCTCCTCTGTTTTTCAACTATAGCTGGCCAAAAGTCCCTAGAGTTGACAGGGAGAGTAAAATTTAAAAAAACAACCATTTAATGATCTTTAATTCTAGCAGTTTTAATTTCCTTTAAAATATCTAATAAAGACCAAAATCAGTAGAACAAGTAAAACTGGTCAGTGGTCCAATTTAGGCATAGCCTGTATCAAACAAAAGTCATAATTTGCAGAGCATTTAGTTCTTTACTCTGAGACCATTAAATCAACAGCAAAACACTGTTCTTTGGAATTATCTATTCATTTTCAAATTTGACTTTTCTTTTAATATGTTTTACATAGTCAATTATGTGAAGTAAGATAGATAGGTCTATTATCCTCAGAACACTGAATAATGAAATACTTATGTACAGCCTCTGTGATGATAAGGGACATATCCAATATGGGAGAAATTCCTTCAAGCATTGCTGTCTAACCCGTGAAAGGGAGGAGCTGGGGGGAGGAAATCTTTATTTGCTGCTTCAATAACTTAAAATTCCTGTTTTCTACTGAGCACTGTTGGACTCTCATATAATAGCAACTGTAACTGTTATGAAGGGGAGATACAGAAGCTGCAACACAAACTAATTGCTCAGCAGAAGCATTTCTGCTTAATACACTCACAATACAAAACATTTATACATGCAAACGTGTACCACAAAAAGGTTAGAAGCAATCTTTGTAATTTAATTTCCTTTTTATCCTTGGCATTTTTACTATTAAATAAGAAGACAGAATCAAAGAGGACTTGCAACATGCTGAGAAAAAAGGAGAAAACTACAGAATTACTTTCCCCATTGAGGATAAGAAAATACGTATGTCTTCCTTTCATAAATTTTACTTCCATTTAAAATCTAGAAAAATGACAGGGCTTATGAAACTGTAAGTTCACTTGGAAAGTAAATTTCTCACCTTGCAGTAAACGGTAATTACAGCAATAAAAAACATTAGTTATGCCAATCAAGAAGAAAAGACAAAGTATCCAAAGAATAAGCCTGTGAATAAAATAGTAACACATAAAAGACTAGCCATCAATGAGATGGATGTGATATGCTGAAAAAACTACATGTGTGGCTTTAGCCTCCACTATTCATATTGCAGTATTTAGTACGCTGTTCAAACCAGATAAGAATTATAAATACAGATGCAATTAAACATCAAAGATATAAAAAACATGCATTAAATAATTCCAGAATTTCAAACACTGTAACTAAATTTCAGGAACCTGATGTGGCTCAACAAGGGCAACTTAGGGTCACAGAATCATAGAATGGCCTAGGTTGACAAGAACCACAAAGATCATTTAGTTTCAACCCCCCTGCTATGTGCAGGGTCACCAACCACCAGACCAGGCTGCCCAGAGCCACATTCAGCCTGGCCTTGAATGCCTCCAGGGATGGGGCATCCACAACCTCCTTGAGCAACCTGTTCCAGTGCATCACCACCCTCTGTGTGAAAAACTTCCTCCTAATATCTAACTTAAAGCTTCCCTGCCTCAATTTAAAATCATTTCCCATTGTCCTTGCTGAAGGACAAGGAGAGTCCTACAGCTGGGGAGGAATAACCACATGCGCATCAGAACAGGTGAAGGGATGACCTGTTGGAGAAGTGCTCTGCACATTAGAACCTCAGTGTCCTGGTGGACAACAGGTTGGCTATGAGCCAGCAGTGTGCCAAGAAGACCAATGAGATCTGGGGTGCCATTGGCAGCACGGCTAGCAGGTAGAGAGAGGTGATTACATATGAGTGAGCACACATCTGACTTGATAAATAAAGAGAGTGGAAGACAGAACATTAGCTTCAAAAGTAGGCCCATCTTTCTTCATTGGAATGATATAAACAATTAAGTAACAAATTTGGACTTTAAAAAGGAATATAAAACAGCTCTGAAGGAGTATATCATAATAGGCATGTTCTTGCCATTTCCTAAATTCCGTATCGACAGCTTCATGAAAGTTTTTTTTAACAAAGTAACTTTAATGAATGACAAAGAAAAATCAGCTTCTGTAATAACCTAATGAAGATTTATAATTGCACACTCTAAGTACCTGTACTCACAGACCGTCAATTATAACTGCCAGAAATCATACTGGGTGACATATTAGATTTGATACACAGCAAGAAAATGCAGACATTCATTTACATGAAGATTAGATACGAGCGGAGCAAACCTGAAAAATGTCTTCGACTTTTAACCTTTTCCTTGCAACAGCCAGATAAATACATTTGAATCAACAGAAGTATGAAGACTGGAATACTATTCAAGCTACTCAAGTGCCAAAAATGACAAAGAAAAAATATAAGAAATTCAAAAGCTCAATATATCAAAAAAGTTGCCTTTATGTGGGATCTATACTACTTACTCTACATGGTAATTCCAGTGAGAATGATCATTAAAATTAGTCAACTGTTTTGGAAGGCTCTTCTGAGAATTCACAGCACAAAGAAATTAAGAGCAGAATAAATGTATAGGCAAATTCTTAAAAGAATAATTCTAAGAAACAATACATCACTGGAAGAAGCTTATTAAGAAACTACTACCTTCTCACGTAAATCTTTGCGTCACTGCCTTTGAAGTCTTTAGTATTTTGACTTAACCATTTGTTCTTTTTCTTTTCCATTAACCACCACTAACAGTATCATCTGCAACCAACACATCTTACCCCCATCTTATAGTATCACAAAAATTTTTAACAAGAAATTCATACGTATTAACAGGCTACTACAGTCTAAATTGACAGAGTAATCAAAACAATTGGCAATAGAAATCAACAAACTACTCTCCATTTGGAAGTACCCACCAGGAAGAAATATTAACAAATAATGGGTTATGAATCTCAATATCCAGATTTGGAAAACTTATGCAGAAAACGAGTCCATTTTATATGGCCACCTCTTCATGTATATCACAATGCATTTTCTATCTTACAGAATTCACTGACCTTCTGTTATGGTTTACCCTCCACTATGATGAAATTTTATAGGCCAACAAGAGAAGAAAGAAATCACGTTTTCAAGTTTCATTCATTGCTAACTCCTTTTTTATCCTTAAATAAAAATCACAGCCTTTCACTGATCAGACTTTTCAATAGAAATCAGTTGAAGGACACAGACATCAGAAGCCAATAGAAACTTTCAAGGCTTTATAATCTTATGAAACAAGAAAAAAGATCACAATACCACTTTTCATGATACGGTCTAAAATTGCCAAGAAGAGCTGGCAATAGAACAGTATGTTGCATCACATTTCTTGTGCTTTCCCTTTTCTAATGAAAGCAGAGCGAGTAGAGCTGGGATACCTTAGAAATCCAGTTTGGACTACAAATCCCAGATATGAACAAGTGTAAACAGCATTACAGCTATCAGCACAACCCACAACAATCTCTTTTCAACAGACAGTCTAATACTGTAATGAGAATTCTTTTCTAATCCAGCATTGCTCTGAGACCAGAGAGATCTTGCAAATACTTAGGATGTAATGAAAAATGCTGTTGTTGAACAAGTAGCAGACACCGAAGAAGCCTTATCTAAGAGACTTGAAAGAAACTTTGCAAGAATTCCTAACAGTTGAAACTAGACTGAAAAACAGATGTAAAATTATGACCTAGATTTCAACAGCTTTCAGTAAAAGCAATGGTGGTAATCCTCTTTTCGTGAACAAAAAGCATGGCATTAATGACACCAGCAAAAGAGCACTGCTTATCTTTCAACATTGTGCAACAAATGCAACCCATGACTACAGCTAGGGAACTCACCAAGCAAACCTGATCACTGTTACCCTATCTTTCTGGTCTGCTGCTTACGTTTCCTAATACAAGCTAAAACATCCCATTTGCTTTCTAATACCTTCCAGTGTCAGTTGGGTTCTACCAAGATATTCAGGTAGTAACTAGAAGAATTAAAACAACCCCTTTTGCAAAATAGATTATAAACTATATGGAATCACAATGTTCCAAAATGTTGTAAGAGACTTGCCCTGAAAGTAATACCTCCTATTTTATTATTTTGCCTCACAAAGTCAGAGGTAGATGTTGGCAGCACGTAAGTATGAATCAAGGGTGTGGAACTGAATTCCTCCATGTGGAAAAAGGTATCACCCACTGACATTGAGCAACACTTGCTTAATACTGATGGAGACCAAACAATGGATATGAGCACAGGGAAACAGTGGATGGTGTGTTTCAGCACTGGCGACAGCAACATGAAAGATGAGCCATGTCCTGAATGCCAGGCACAGCTATAATGCGACCAAATGAGGACTGTCTCAATCAGCTGAATGATGCTAATCAGCAGATCATGACCAGGGAACTGTGTGTGGTGCTTAGTATCAGTTTCAATGTGATAGAAACAATGGTGGCAATGTTGGAGTATCAAAGTTTGTGGCAGTTGGGTCCCATGAATGCTCATGTAGCAGGAGAAAGAACATTATATGCAAGTTTGTCAAGACCAACTTATCTAATGCAAAGCTGAGGGTAACAGTTTCCAGGATTGCATCATTACTGGAGATAAAATGAGGTATCACCCCTATGCAAAGTGAGTCCACAGAATGGCAACACGTGAATTCCCTATCAAAGAAAATGTTCAAGGCATAGCCCTCAGTGGGCAAAGTGACATGCAGTAACTTTTGGGATAGAAAGATCACTCTGGATTTCTTGGAACCCAGACTAATCAACAACTTTGACTGCAGCATCTCAATGCTGACTAAGTTGAAGGCTCAAATTTCCAGAGTCAGGCAAGAGAAGGCAACACAATAATAACAGGCCTCATACCAGTCTGAAGACAACACAGCACGTTACCAATCTTGGTGGACTGTCCTAGCACATTCACTGTATAGTCCAAATTTGGTGCCTTCTGACTTTCATTTGCTCGGGCAACATTTCCCTAAGAATGACGTCATCACAGCAGCTGTGAAATAGTGGGTCACCTCCGCTGGTGTGACTTTTACAAACGCAGCATGAAAGCTCTCGTTCACTGCTCCAAAAGTGCACAGCTAATGGTGGTGACCATGCTGAAAAATAGTGTTTTGTAGCTGACTATTTGTCCTATCAAATAGTGTTACTGTGCTTTTAACATCTGTTGTCGTTAGCATAGAAATAAATACAAAGCATTACTTTCAGAGGGACCTTTGCAATGCTGATGCTACGCAAAGGGACAAAAGCAAAGTTCGCATATTGATTTACCCATTGGGTTATAGGTATGAGAAGAGGGGCAATTTATGCCACTTTAAACTTCAGAAATAGAACACTTAAGAAATTTATCTTAAAATGTAGCCCCTGCCACAGTGGTAATTTACATCACTACTCCCAACCATGTTCAGGAGACAGTGTTTTAGGGACCAAGGGCATATCTAACCTAACTCAGTTACATGTACACTATTAAATGAACACTCCCGAAGCTCTGGGATAACAAACAAACAAGATTTTAGACAACCAGAATTCAACCAAGTCTGAGCAAGAATTAATGGCATTTGAGAATGTACTCATCCTCTGGACTACTGGTTGCTGCAGCTTCTCACATCTCACATCCTAGCTGTGACAGGATTCTCCCCCATCAGTCTTTTTGTGCTTTTTGAAATAAAAAGTATGCATCAATGTTTGAGCTATTGTTTGCCTGCATGTATTTCCCCCTCAGATATCACACACAGAGAGAACATTACTCTTTAAGTAAAACACTACTGCCTAAATCTTGTTGCTAGACACTATAGTTATTCAAATCAGACGAAAAATCTTTAAAACTAAGAGATTACTGCTAAGTGAAAAGGTGCTGCTGCAACACAGAACTCAGGAAAGAAACACATCACAAGTTCTTTTTTCTTTTTCTTTTTTTTTTTTTTTTTAAATATGAACTCCTAAAACATACTGCAATGTGCAGCTGTGAGCAGGAAGATAAACAGGTTGCTGGACTGATGGACTATACACATACATGATAATGTGAAAGGGATCATTGCTTACAACTGAATGACACTGCCTACATAAGAAACTTACAGTTTAGATAATAAGCTGTCACTTTATAACCTGCTTAAGCCAACTAATAGGCCTATGAACCACTGTGAATTGCAACTGCACTGCAGCTATTTCCTATCATATCCACTGTTTTAAATCCTTCATTCTATGTTCTATTGTTAAGGGAGCGATATACTTAAAAAAGGAATTGATTTTTGCCATACTTATTTCAATTGAATAACAAAGGAAG